GTCCGCTCCGCAATCAGCAAACAAATCCCGATGGGTCGCGAAGGCAGACCAAACGAGATTGCTGATGTAGTCGTTTTCCTTGCCTCCGACTGGTCATNTTTTTTGCAACAAAAAAAAGATTCCGTGCATTGATTATAAAACATCTGAATTTTCTGTGTGATCTCTGATCGCTTTCAAAAGAGAACAAAATTACTGAAACGTTCAAACCGCTTTATGAGCAGCAGGAACTAATTAATTTGAAATTCACATAATCCGTCAAAAACTTAAGAATATGAAATAACAAATTCATTGTTCGCTTATTTCCCACTTATCAATGCAAATATGATAATATCATTACACTTCATAACGTCAACTCCTTCTCAGGTCCGCTCCGCAATCAGCAAACAAATCCCGATGGGTCGTGAAGGCAGACCAAACGAGATTGCTGATGTAGTCGTTTTTCTTGCCTCCGACTGGTCATCATACATAACCGGTGCTACAATTGAAGTGACCGGTGGCTTGTTCATGTGAAACACCTATAAACATGCAATTCATTCCACATTCTAGCACTACCTCATTCATTCCAATCCACTTCTGAGCACTATAAATAATTCCTTGTGCATTTATCTCGGAACTCGATATGGTTATTTTTATCACTGATTTTCGTAATGGAAAAAGTTTTCACAACGCGACTGTTGGCATCGTTTAAACGATTTCAATAAACATTTTCATTTTCGTCAATTTGTTTATTCATATACTGATGAAGTAATTCGCTATAAGAATGTTTTAAGTTAATATACATTCATCAATGAATGTTCCCATTATCGCTGTGCCAGCACTGTATCGCGTGCACATCCACTTATATGCTTTGATTTCGATCGTGCGAGGAACGGAATAGAAACCGGGACTGATGATTCGTTCATATCAATGCGGTGCTGTAATATTCAAAATTGATAAGACCATTTTTGAATTATGGATGATGTCTTGGGGTGATAAGGAACATCAGTAGCGTTGTTACTTTAAACGATTAATTTAAACTTTAAATTTAAACTTTAAACAGGTTCATGTTAGTGTTCTCATTCGTTTTCAAAATTTCATTGCTTTTCAAATGTTGTGTCATCGCGAAATTAATTCGTTCGTGTTGTTGGAAACATTGGTGTGAACGAGCAGAGTGAAAACGAGAGGAATATTTTGAGCTGAATGTGATGTGCGATCATTTAAATTTTGAACTTTCATCGTGATACTCCATCGGCAATGTATTGTTCACAATTAAAGGTTCGCAGTCGTACTTAAGGTGTAAAAAAATGTGCAATGTCTACGCATATCTTTTCGATGTCTGCTAGCGTGAAATAAACGAGCAATAGAGGAGTGTTGAGGGGAGTAGTTGAAAATTGAAGACGTCTTACGCTCAACGACATAAAGAGACAGATAGGTGCACAGATAAATTCTCGGTTGTAGACATGTTGGTTGTGATATTCAGTTATCAAATGACTTTCATTGATTGCTTATCATTGTTATGAAGATAGTGGGATAATGAAAAGCCGTTCGAAGATTTATATCGTTATGTATAAGCCAAGACGGTCTAGTGAAGCTAGCTTTGTGTTGTTTGTTTATGCGTGCAGTTGTGTCGCGAGAAACTCCAATAAAATGTGAATAATTTCAGTTTGGTGGTACTCCACCAAAATGTTGCATCGACTATGTGCCTTAGGTCCCAGATTCTTCTACTTGCCTCGCATGTTGCCGTCAACGTCTCGGTGTACGATTGCTGCCAGACGGCTCTACTCAGACGATCATCTGCCCCCTCGAGAAGTATATATTCCCCAACCTTCCACCAAACCTCCGCCTAAACCCGCTCCACCTCCCGCTGTACCCACTCCACCGCCACCTTCAAAATCACCTCCACAGGTTCATGTTAGTATTTTCATTCGTTTTCAAAATTTCATTGGTTTTCAAATGTTGTGTCATCGCGAAATTAATTCATTCGTGTGATTGGAAGCATTGATGCGGTGATGATGTGTTTTGTTAGCATTGCGGTAAAAGAAGTTCGATTATCATAATCTTTGTTGAACATTAACGAGTATTTTGGTAAATGAAGTTCAACAATATCCAGATTTACACAACCTATTTTTAATGTTCTTAAAATATATCTATAAAGTTTTTTAAAATTTGACATAATTTTTGCGGTCATATTTATCATCATTCGTTGTAGGAATCAGTAAAGCCAAAAGCTGAAATGCAGAAAGAAGCACACGATGCACATGATGTTGAAAATCCAGGACCTCCGGTAACGCTTGATTATATGCCCGTACCGTTCCAAAAATATCAGACGGTTTACAAGGAATTACAAAAGAAATTCAATTTCTATTTGGTCGTTGGTGTCGGTCTTCTGGGACTTTCATTAGCTATTGTAAGTCAGCCTATTCTTCCTTTGAAATAATCTCTGTGATAATTTTAATTGAAAAAATAACTGTCAGTGAAATGGAACCACTGATTTTGAATGACCATTTTGATGGAGAGGTCATTTAAAAAATATATGTATAAAAAAGGTTTTCAATTCGATAATATTACTTTTTTTCAATTCATAAAATGCCTCATTGTCAGTGATTTACTTTTTTCAATCGGTTATGTAATTGAAGGCAATCAAAGAAGACATGTTTGCAATTGAAGCGTTACGGCCACCAGCAAGTTACCGCAATAGAAAGAAGGCATACATGAGCACAGAAAAAGATGAAAAATCGGAGCCCAGCCCTCCGCCGCCAGCCGAAACCGCTGATGAAAAGAGTGAACCCAGCCCTCCGCCACCAGTCGAAACCACTGAACCTGAACCTCAGCCTGAACCACAAGTGGAGAAAACAGTCGTTGCAACTGAGCCTGAAGCACCTCAGGTGGTGGCTGAACCACCTGCCGAAGAACCAAAGGTAAATGTAGCGATCCCAGTTGTGTCGGGAAATTAACATGAGAAAACTTCCAAAGATGAACATGCCAGAACGGATACATAGAAAGAAGAAATTGCTGCTGATTTAAGACACCGTAATAGGGTTTAATTTGTTTCTTGTGTTTCAGCTTTTTATGTTCATCTTAATTT